GAACTGCAGAACTGCAGTCAGCTGAAGTAGCCTGCAGTGCTGCATTTAACCACTGCGCCACCTCGGCTCTTTATGCCCAATCCAAGAAGGAAAAATCTGTTCCCACAGCATTAGAACTTGGGAAACAGTGGGCATAGCGTGCTGATGCACAACTCAAGATGTCTGCTGAGAAAAATTAGGAAAGGATAAATAATGCTGTCGGGAAGCAGAAAAAATACCAGCTCAATAATAAGCGTACTTATTACTCCAGCAGTCTAAAAGAAGAGGTTCAGTTGAAGCTAAACCTAGCTGCGTGTTATGTGGGGAGATGGGATTCTCACAAAATAATCATGTAAGCTCTAGAAAGTTTTGAACAGGCCTCTGGGCAGGCACATAAGCCATGTGCGAATCACAAGAGTCCACAAGGTATAACATAAATCGCACACAGTTTACGTTACATTTACTTGATTGCTTTGAAAATACTTACTCTAAAGTTTGGAGAAAAATATCGATTTGCTTTGTCCTTATTTGCCTTGTCCAAATCATTTTTTGTTAGTGTAAGGATTAAATATTCCTTGTCATTATCTGAACGCTCTGTACTCAAAATGCCATCAAGTTCCTGATCTCCAAGAAGACTTCCATTTTCTACTTTGTCAGAATTTTCTTCCAGTCCTGGTATGAAGAATGTATTGACCCAGAAATGAAACATTTTGTCCTAAAGGTTAAAAAAGGAACGTTTTAGCATAATATAGCACAATAACCACCTATTTACAGTCTTGCATTTAACACTATAAACATAGACATAACCATAACCATAACCGTAACCATCTGCAAAGCTTTACAATGAGGAGAGATCTGCTTCCCATTCTGTTTCCATGTTGGCAAACAGTTACTCTCTACTTATAATACACCCGGATTCTATTGGACTTGAATATTTTGATTTTGTTCCTTCAGTAACTGGGTCAAATAAAAGGTTTTCCTCTTTCGTGATTCGACAGTTTGAAATCGACTAGGGTTGGACGGAAGGTGCCTTCGAACTGACACCAAACCAAAGTACTTATGCACAGCATTTCCTGAGAGGAGAGAAATTGTTCTGTAATTGGCATTTCAGAATCAGCACGGTTTCAAATAGGATCATAATATTCCCCCCAATGCAATCCTGGATTAAAAGGTGAATTACAAATTAGAATGAATACATTCACAGACTTTTATATCCTGACCCTGCTAACTTGGGACTAATTGTGTTCATGTGTGACAAGAAACATAACAGCAAGCTAAGCAAAGTTACGCAAGATTGAAACGCCCAAATTTGATTTAAAACGGACCTGGACAATAAACTGTTCTCTTACCAAAACTCCAAGGGGGAAAATGTTTGATTTATGCTAAACCTAATTATACAGTCAAGAATATACCTGGGTGCGACTTGATGATTACACAATGAGGTTAAATCAATCCTCAGTTTCCCATCTAATTTCCTTAAAAGTTTCCGGATAGCAGGTTATGCCATGAGTTATAAACTGTGGAACTAATGGTAGATAATACTGATGTGGCAGGGGAAGATACATAGATTGGATTTGTTTGTGCTCTCCGAACTTGGTTGCAGAGGTTAGTGACCATTTGAAGTGACAACGGAATTGAAAAAAGTTATGTTTTCCACACTTTTGACTTTTGCAGCATCCTCATGGTCACATGATCAAAATTGAGACACTTGGTAACCGATTCATATTTACGATGTTCACAATATACCAGAGACATGTGATGATCACCTTTTGCCATCTTCTGACAAGCAAAGTCAATAGCAATAGCAGTAGACTTATATACCGCTTCATAGGTCTTTCAGGCCTCTCTAAGCGGTTTACAGAGAGTCAGCATATTGCCCCCAACAATCTGGGTCCTCATTTTACCCACCTCGGAAGGATGGAAGGCTGAGTCAACCCTGAGCCGGTGAGATTTGAACCGCTGAACTGCTGATCTAGCAGTAGCCTGCAGTGCTGCATTTAACCACTGCGCCACCTTGGCTCTTGGGGAAGCCAGATTCACTTAACAACTGGACTACTAATTTAGCAACTGCAATGATTCACTTATCAACTGTGACAAGAAAGGTTGCAAAATGGGATAAAATTCACTTAACAAATATCTCACTTAGCAACAAACATGTTAGGCCTCATTGTGGTTGTAAGTCTAGGGCTACCTGTATCATCAGTGTGAGGATTACTTTTTTCCCCCCACTCATATTAAAACATGAGCTAGGAGGTGTGATACTTGTCTGTTATAAAAAGTAGGCATTAAGTGAATATTTATAGTCTTCGAACTTTACAAACTTCACGGACTCCAGGAACAATTCTAATAGGTAAGAATTGTAATAACACTTTAAGTAAAACAAAAATAAAACTAATATAAAGATTGCCTATCCCTCCTTCACTCCTGCTGGAAATCAAAGATTACTGACAACTTACTCTGAGTGCAGTAAAAACAATTAAAATATGTATGGTAGCGTATAAAACCCCTAATTAAGTTAAAAATTAATTGATTAAAAATTATGCTAAGCTAATTTTTCAAAGTGCAGCCAGTTCAATTTTGTAAAGCAAATGATAACTTTAAAATGTGTATAGGTAGTCCTTGACTTACTACATTGATTTAGAGATTCTTCAAAGTTATAATAGAATTGAAAAAAGAGACCTATGATCATTTTTCACATTTACGACTACTGCAGCATCCCCAGGGTCACATGATCGAAAACCAGATGTTTGGCAACTGACTCATATTTACGATAGTTAACAGTGTTCCGGGGTCATGTAATCCCCTTTTGTGACTTTCTCACAAGCAAAATCAATAGCAAAACCAGATTATCTCTATTAATGTGTTACTAATTTAACAGCAATGATTCACTTAACAACTATCACACTTAGCAACGTAAGTTTTGGGCTCAACTGTGCTTGTAGGTCGAAGATACCTGTATGCCTTTTGCAGTACTTTTCGATTTAGCAAACAGCCAAAAACCCTAATATTTCTAAACATGATATTGATAATAACTGATTCAAGGCATTCCAGAGTGGCACACACCATCTATCATTGTACTGAAATACATTTCAAGAAGTAGCATAAAGCAAAAGGACAATATTGAACTATTAAAATATCTCTAAAATTGATTGAAAATTTAATATTTAGTAACTAAGGTCTGCACTGCTCACCCACCAAGTCTTTTATTATGATCTAGTTTTGAGCATACAAGTATTAAATTTTCTACAATCCTCTCTATCAGGCCTGGCCTTAGACCCAAATCTCCTATAAGTCCAGGTTGAAGTTTGCCAAGTCAAATGCAATTGTCTAATAAATGTCAATTTATTAGCAATTTAAGGCAAATTTTTGCTGAGAAATGTTATTCAGCCATGCCCATACGTGCACCAGCAAAGAATGAGAATATTTAATTGTTCAAGCCTGCCCAGAAACTGCAAATTATCTCNTGAGATCTAATAGGTCGTGTGGAGGTAATTGGCAGGTAATTAAGGGTCCATCCAACTTTAAATATTAATTGGGTAAATTTATTACTTTTTTAATCCCTAAACATTTGTCAGTTAAGGTTATAAATGGGTTATTTTCCTTTATTTGAATTATCATTTGTAAAGTCAACCGATGGCCCTATTCTACTATCTCCCAGAGTTTACAAAACTATTTTCCCCTCCACCCTCATACCACTGCCTACAACTAGATGCACCTGGCACCTACCAGTTCCTAAATTCCAGTCTGAAAGAACACTGAAAGCCAAGTACGGAAGAAAGTTTTGATTTCTCAGATGGCCACTTGAAGAAGTGATGCTACAGGTAAACAACCAGTCAGCCCCCACTGTGACCTGTGATTCACATACATGAGTAAGTAGTAAACAATTTGAAAGGAGAAGAGTGGTGACATAAAGCAACAAAAGAAAGAAAGGCACTTTCAAAGTCCAGCCTAGATGGCCAACTAGTAGAATTCTGCTAGTGGAACTACTTCAGAAGATTGATGACTCTTGTGGAGTGAATATGAATCAGAAAGGAACATGGTAAAGCTTGTAGCTAAGCTTCATTGTCACCACTATTCATTTTAAAAAAAAAAACCACAATGAACATAGTTCTTCTTGCAGGTATGCAATGCTGGATCCCAGGATGAAGATGGATATCTTCATATTGCCAGTCAAGACATAACATCCTCTAGCAGCAGTGCCAATGCGTTCACGCAGACACTGAACTTAAAAGTCACTGGCAAGAATTGTTACCAAATAAACCGCATTTTCAACATAGTGTAGCATTGAGTTTGTGACCTTGTTTACTATCAAACTTCCATGGAAATGTCCTAGCCTTAACCAGGAAATCCTCTTATTTATGCATGCCTTACAAGATTTGGTATGCCTCTCCAACTTTTGAGGGGGTTTTAATGCATCAATATTAGCAGTTTGATTCAGAATGTTCAGAACATTTTTGGGGAGGAGCCATGTGTTGAAGGAATTGTCTGAAATTATCCATCACTGGATAATTCTTTGATGCTGGGCAGAATAGCTCTAGAATTTGCCAACCTTAAAACCTGATAATAGACCACAACTGATGAATGAAAAGAACAATTGTGACAAACCTGTTTAGTGAATGCCTGGCAGTGACTACTGCACAAGCTTCACCATGACAGAAAAGTAGAGTTTATAGCAATAGCAGTTAGACTTATATACCGCTTCATAGGGCTTTCANTTTACCCACCTCGGAAGGATGGAAGGCTGAGTCAACCTTGAGCCGGTGAGATTTGAACCGCCGAACTGCAGCTAGCAGTCAGCTGAAGTGGCTGCGGTACTGCACTCTAACCACTGTCTAACATCTTACCATGCACACAAAAAGATGAAGACATTTGATATACATTCAAACTGTAATTATTTAAGTGCTCTAGTTTGGAAAGGAATTCGGTGTATCACTCAAGAATGGTGCTAACAAATCCAGATCACCTCAACATTCAAACGTGTAGGTATTTAACAGATGGCCAAACGTATAATAAACCTGAACAATTATTATAGTTTTAAACAAAATTCTTATAGTGGCTTCTAGAAAAGCCATGCATATTTATGTTAACCTTGTAAAAGACTTTGGGGCTGTTTCCAAAGATATTAACATTAAAAATGCTTCTATTGTATTTTGATTCTTGCATGGAACAAAATTATTCACTAAAATTGCTTATGTCTAGCGGTGATAAAAAGATTTGAATGCTGTAGGATTAAACCCATCCAGATCGAATACATTCAAGCTAACATCTTACCATGCACACAAAAAGATGAAGACATTTGATATACATTCAAACTGTAATTATTTAAGTGCTCTAGTTTGGAAAGGAAATAAAACGGCCACTCTACAACCCAATCAGAGTAATGGGTTATTTAGTATCCGTCTTCTTTAGCTTTTTTTTAACCTCAGGCAGATTTTTCAAACTTCCAACAATGGTTAACTTTGAATTGAAAAAAAAACAACCACTTTTTTAAAGCATGTTTTCACATGCAACCCTTTAATGTAAGGGATATGCATGCAACATTCTCCCAAAAGTGTTCCCATCAGCTTAAGATCCCATCAGCTCCAGCTAGTAGTCCAAAGATAATATATGTGAGAACACTGTAAGTCAGTGGTTCCCAAACTTGGCAACTTTAAGACTTGTGGACTTCAACTCCCAGAATTCTCCAGCCAGCAGAGCTGGCTGGAGAATTCTGGG